AGCAGACTTGTAAAACATATCGAAAACTTCTTTTTTTATTTGGGTAATTAATAAATAATCCATATATGTCGAATTGTCTAATCAAGGAAGAAAATTAACTGCGTTGCCGAATTGAAATAAATATTTGCTTTCACATATTACATTGTGATCTAAATCTCTAAATCAGTGGAAAGTCACTGGAGTGGCATATCAGTCTAAAGTATGCCACTCCAGTGACTTTTCACTTATTTAGATTTAGAGAGTAACAAAATGCGAGTCTTTAGTATATTTTAACATACTACAACAATTATTTTACATTTTGCGCTGTACGTTGCAAGAATAATTTAATTCTTACGTCATTTTTCCCCTCCTTATAGTCACAATTTTACGAGCAATTTTATCAAGTGTCACGCTGAGTATACTGTCAACGTGAACTTAGCAGTCGAACCACATAGAAGTCTCGATTTAGTTTTTCTATTAAATATTTGCAGCAGAGATTTCTCCATTACAATGAAGTACTTGGTATTCGCTTTAATCGTCATAGTCGCTATCAACGGCATAATGACTGTTCTAAGTTCTACTACGGAGTCTAAGGCTGTATGCTCTCCCTGGCTCGGATATGTAAGTAATAATAAAAATAACAAAAAGTAAAGACAATAATTGTGCGCTTGTGATTTCTTCTCTACGAAAATCGTGTACGCATTATATTTTTTACAACATTAACTAATTATATTTTAATATCACAATTTCTAATATCGCAATCAATACACGTATTTATAATGGAAGACATTGCTGTTTAACGAATCGTTATGATTATAGTGCCAGATCACCGACCAATGCTGTCGTGATTTAGTATGCCTGGGATATGCCGCTAAATGTGTTCCTGGAAAAATTAAAAACGATAACAGACCTATCGGAGATGGGCCATTTCCTCCAAAAAATTAAAACAAAGGAGATTCAGTTTTGACATTAATAATAATACTGGAAGAGTGGAAATGAGAATGCATAATACACTCCAAACGATTATATGATATTGCTTTCTTATAAAGTAAATGTTTAATTACGTATACATGTGTATTAAAGCGCTGTGTATTTTCGTTTTCTACAGAACGATTTATTAAACAATTTTTCAATTAAACAATGCTCAAATTGTATATTTATTATAATTACATCCTGCATTTTTGTTAGTTGTAATATTTTATTAATTAGATCAGTAAAAAATTTAATCAAAATACATATAATATATTTTTTTTATATATACAAGATTATATATGTAAGAATAAGAAATATTACTAAAAAATAATTAGTTAAATTATTCACGAATATCGTGATTATCATAATAAAAATAATTAGTTACATTATTCACAAATATTGTGATTATCGTAATGTTTCCCATATTTCCCATATAACGTTTCTTGATACTTACGTAAAAATGTGTCTAGACATTTACGCATACTTAATTCTATTATATTTCGTCGAAGAAAGATAAATCAGAGGGCGTCCGTCGCGTCGTCCCGCAAAAAATTATTTCTGCAAGTAGTATAAGCTATCGTTATTTAGTCGTAGGACGCATTTTCGCAATGAGCGACTAAAATTATCGATAAGCGATGGTCGTTGGCTTATCGGTGATACCTAATAGCGTACGCACTAGCACCTCGCATCCGCGCGGCGTCCATGATGCGGGACGGAACGTATAAAAAGGAGCGAAGAACTATAAATGATTTGATTTACTATGTGGATTTACTATAAAATTAATTTAGGATTTTTTTTCTTAATTTTAGCCCGACTATTATAGTGAATCGTGGATGGATTCCTAGAAGTGATCGCTCGACGTTTAAGTAAAGTTGGAAATGAAATTACAGACACTGTAGAAATTATCGGCATTATCAGAGCATGCATGTATAACTGATTTTAGTTATCTTGATGCGTTCAAATAAATTTAAAAAATTAAATCTGTTACATGTTATTATACATGTTATTGAAAATATGCGAGAAGGGGAAACTATACACTGTATGTTTACAATACAAATACAACTTTATGCAAATAAGGAATAAATTTAAGATAAGTACACGTACATACAAATAAATTTGAAACATTTACGTGACAATTACGTGAATGAGCGATTTACGTGCCTGTTCTTTAACGAAAAAAACGAAATTGTATTCGCATATTCAAGTTTGTTCACACTATCGATGTTCATACGCATTTCGTAACAAGCTCGCGCTCTCGTTTTGCGATTGTTCGCGATCGCGACAAATAAAGTAAGAACGCCAAACGCGCGATCGTTCTTTTCAATCATTTAATTAATTATTAATTCCCGCGTTTAACGAGTGGTTCAAGCTATTCATTTAAAGCGTCTTCCCGCGCGATTCACTATTCAGAGATTCAGAGTAGAAATCGAAACGAAGGCAGGAGACGTGAATTTCGAGGTTATCGTTTCGTTGCGACACGCGGGACAACGATTCTATTAAGATTCGGATGTATCGCGCTTCGAGACATTTATTTCTCATGTAAAATTCACTCACCGATCACGGAGCACTGCAGGAGACTCGCTAAATCACAGCCGGGATG